CTTTTCATGCCCCTTGAGGGAGCAAGTGGGCCAAACTAGCCATATTTGAGGGGGACACATTACCCCCAGAATATTATTTTCTAAAAACAGCCTCTAAGAGGCACAAGGGGAGACTTTCAGTTAAAAACACTATTTAGTTAAACTTATTTTTCAGTTAATAAAACCTTTGTAGGAACTTTCGTAGTACAGTGGTGCTCCACATGACGATTACCCCGCTTGACGAGGAACAGTGGTGCTCCACTTGACGATTACCCCGCTTGACAAGGAAATAGCTTAACGATGAGTTTTTGCGATCACTATAGCGATCGCAAAACGATGATTCAATGGTTTTTTTTTTTTGCTTCACGACGATCAGTTCCCTGCTTCGGGAACCGATTTTTTGCTTAACGGCGATCTAAAAACAGCTGATTGGCGGTTCGCAAAATGGGTCCCCTCTGTTTTGCTGACCTATTTTCACTTTACAGGCATCGGAAAATGAAGGATCTTCGTCAGACGATCAGGTGTTTTCCCCACTGGAACGCACTGACCGGTTTTCAATGCATTCCAATGGTGTGTTTTTTTCCGCTTGACGATTTCGCTGTACAGCAATTTTGCTGGAACGCATTATCGTCATCAAGCGGGGCACCACTGTATAGAACGACTTTGTAGTATGGAACCTCTTTGGCCACATCCTTCCACCTTAATCCTCCACCTCCTTGATGTGTAGTCCTCGGGCTTTTAGCAAATCTGAAAAATGGCCCTTGGCCCCATTGAGACTGTTCCCCGCCCCCAGAGAGATTCAGCACTAAGTGTTATCTCCCCAGGAAAGGAATACAGGTTTTGTAACAATTTAAATTTATAGAGCAATGGTTTCCAACCCTGTGTCCCCAGATGTTCTTCACTGCTAGCTGTAGTGGCCAGAATTTCTGGAAGTTGTAGTCCAAGAACATCTGAGAATCCAAGGTTAGGAATCACTGCCATAAATCTATATACAACGATGCCATTATCAAGTTCCACCTTTCCAATAGGTTCCTTCTTTGTCTGGGATTCTGCTGCACTCTACACAATGAGGGAGAGCCAGCTACCAACCATAAGTGTGCCATTTCTTTTTAAAAAACGACCAGCTCATTGAAATTGCAAAAATCAGTCTTCTGAATATCATTCTCTACCACAGGGACAGGCAAAATGAACCCTCCCAGATGTTACTTAACTGCAACTCCCATCAGCTCTAGCCACCATAGCCACTCGTGAAAGATACTACGTAGTAGCTCCAGTCCAACACATCTGGAAAGCAACACTTTACCCACCTCTACTATACTGCATGCTGAATGTTCAGTGGGCTTTTTAAAAAATCATACAGAATCATGGTTCAAAATATCATACAAACAGTACCGTTAGGAGAACCTTCTGGACATAAGATCTAGATAGCATTTCTGGACCTGCATGGTGTTTAGAATATCCAGAGTAGTGAGTCTTCTGTGTATCATATGGAAAACTTCCATGTACAGTCAGTTCCAGTTTCTGTCAGCTGAGATGTCCCTGTCTTAGTGATACCAGCTAGGATTGCTGAAAGCCTGGATTATTGCAGTAGCCGACTCTTCAATACAAGTTCCCCCCCTTTTAGAAACTTCAAGCTATGCTTCTCTCTCTCTCTCTCTCTGGAATCCAACATTTCCTGAAAACACTTAAAGGTGGAAGAACATTTGGCAAACTCTGCTCCTTCCTCACTTAGTTACCATAAAGTTTGTTTTCCTCGTTCAATAAAAACATAGCGCAGCTCCCCATTTCTCTGGCCTTGCTTCTCAGCAAAGGAACACAATTCTGATAGAGAGAGCCACAGTTCTGACATCACAACAAACCATGGTTTAATTAATAGTGTTGGAGTGTGATGTGCAAATTGATCAACTGTAATTGCAGAAGTTGATCTGGTGCCAGAAACCAGTGCATCACAGAAACAGGAGAGCAGAGCAGATTAAAAAACAAAGAGATGACAAACTGGCCTACAGCATGGCATGTCTGAACACTTAGCTCCTGGTTGTGTGGTTTGGCAATGATCTCACCAGTAGTACAAACCCTGACCCAACCAAGCCAGGGAGGGCCAAGGGAGTGACAAAACTTACTTGGAGAACCTTTCCATGAGAGCTGAGGACTTGTTGTTGACAAGGGACAACTCTTTGGCGGTGATCCTCAGAGAATGTGACGCCCACTGCCTTCTGTTGAAAGGAGATGGCTCCATCTTGAAATGTAGTTTTAGCTAGAAAAGCAAAGCAGAAAAAACAGGAGACTGATTGTACACTAAACACTCTTCTTTCTCCTACACTTTCTAAAATTCCCTTCATTCTGCAGCCTCTAAGAGACTGTTCTACACTCAAGCTGCAAAAAAAAAAGCCCAGTTGGAAAATGCTTGAAATGACCTTCAGGTTAAGAGAGCCTAGCCACTGCAAGAAAAAAACTACCTTGCAGGGGATATTTTGTAATATAAGAATTCCTTTCTGCCTGGTACATTTTATGACAGTGAAACCCCTTCTTCTAAAGTACTAGTGATATTCTGCCTGTGGTTACCAGGTCTCAAGGCAGAGGCTAAAGTTTAAGGGAACTACGATGCTGCCTTGTGTCTCTAGGCAGTGAGACAAATCTTAAGGTATGCAGAGTTAGAAAAGGAGAAAAACTGATTTTTTCTGTGACATGGCTTTAAAACCTCAGAACTCTCCTTATTTTTACTCTCCAAACAGCACCAGGGCTCAGCGGTTCATTGCAAAGGTATTTAGATATGAGTTGCATGTCTGTAATGTCAGCATAACAACAACAAAAAAACAGGAGCAAAGGGAAGGGACTGAAATAGGAGGAGTTGTAGGAAATCCACATCGGGCATGCACACACAAAACAGGAGCAAAGGGAAGGGACTGAAATACTGTAGGAAGAGTTATAGGAAATCCACATCGGGCATGCACACACCCCCATCCATTATCTGTGCTTTCTCTCACATGTACTATTTTGCAACTGATACCTAAGAGATATACGTTACGAGGCTGAGGCTATCGGAATTTTGACATATTATGAGAAAACAAGGTGCACTGTGAAAGAAGAAAATGCTGGGAAAAGTAGAAGTTAATAGGAAAAGAGTAAGACCCAACAGAAGAAGAAGGTAAGACTTGAGCAAGGCTGTTAATGACAGAACCTTTTTGAGATCATTAATCCAAAGGATTGCCATAAAGTGGAAGCAATTTGGCAGCACGTAGCAACAACACAAGAGCCGGCATTGGCAACATCTTGAAACCCCCCTCCCCCTAATCTCGGGTTTTGAAACTGAGTTCTCAGGAATGCTGACAGAGCTGAGCTGGTAACCCTCCTCCTAACCTTCCTAAGAAGTTAGTGTAAATTTCTGGTTGCCCAATAACTTTGTCAAGTAGCCAAGCCAAAAGGCAGCTGCCACCCCCAACACCCCTTCCTCTGTTTCAATGTCCATCTCAGTCTGTCTCAGGATATCAACCCGTGTTTCCTCTGTCCAGGCCCAACACGAACTATTGCACCATACTACTTAGGTACTAAGTGATGACACTGCAAAGACTGTGAAAACAGATAGCCTTTGAGGCATTTGAAAGGAAAGCAAATAATGAGACAGCATCATCCTTCTCCAAACAAGCTAGTGGGCAGTTTCCTCCAATTACCATTAATTGTACATATCCCATTGTAAACCAGCACTGTCATACTTTTCTCCTGGATTCATCACCGCCAGCCAGAGGGAAGTCTCATACCATATGAAGCAATGCTTTTATCTTTCAGACAGAATCTTATTAGCCCATCTGATAATTTCTTCAGGGTGACTTAATTTCCCCAGGCAAACAATGCTTTATTTAAAATGATGCTAAGGTGACACTTGTCTGAAAATTTCAGGTTCCACTATTACATTCCAGTTCATTATAAAAACACCTAAAGCCATGGGGAACAGTAGCACAGACTGACAGTACTCTCCTGCACCATGAAAGGAGAGCAGGTGTTATTCAGTGCTTAGACAACCCCTGATTAGAAAAGAAAATCCTTAACTAATGAAAACATCTGAATGTCACAGCAGGAGCTTCTCTCACTTCCTGGAGGATGCAAATTGGTTTGCTTTGTTTGGTGACTGATGCTGAGGTGCATGAGATTCCTTTCAATTCTGAAAAAGTTAGGGTTCCCAAAACAATACAAATGCAGGGAAAGGTGATACCATTATTGGACCATTAAGAAAATAAAACAAAAAAATAAAGTTAGGTTTCAATGATAATTCATCTTCCTCAGGCTAAGACTGCATTGATCATCTCTCTGCAATATTAATGAATTTTCAGCTCTAATTACTGGCTATCTCTAATGTCTCCTTCTGACCCAAGACTAAGGAGAGAAGATGAAAATCTGAATCCTTGCTCCGTCATAGAAGTTCCCTGGCTGACTTTGGGCTGATCCTCAACTTAACTGCCTCACAGGGTTGTTACAAAGAAGGGGACAGCAAAGCCATGCATGCCACCTACAGCTCTTGAGATGAAAGAGGAGATGGGCAAAGTGGTAACTATGCCAACAGTGTGAAGCAATGAGGACCGGTGGCAATGTACTGGTCCCATTCAGTTTGGGACTTTAACCAAAAGAAAAAGAAAAGAAAGGTCAAGTGCGATCTCCAACTAAATGAATGGTAGCTATTAATGATAAATTAACATACGAAATTAGAGTAAGAAAAAGAAGATTAAAAAAAGAATGAGTTTGGAGATATGTGGGGAGAATTTATCGATTTTGTATTAACAAAGGGGAAGGGTTGTGTACCTTCACAAGAGTCAATGTATTTTCAGAAGGGGAATGGGGCTCCATAAAAGGAAGGAATAGATTATCTCCATTGGTTCCGGTGAGGGGGACCACAGTACCTATGCAGATTTTCCTTAGCTGTTTTATTTTTTATGTATATTAAACACAAAAAAAATTAAAAGTTCCCCTGAGAGGTAGTTGGGGCATGCACATAATTCTATTTTTTCCACTTCCAGTTGAAAAGTAGCTCTGTTCAAGAAACCTCTTTTCCTATCAGCCTGCCTATGTGGGGCAGTCAGCCACCTGTTCACAGGGCTTCTCTCCAGGTTCAAAAAAATAGATGCAAAGGTCCGAGAGTAGCAAGACTCTGATGAAATGAAGTATCAGAACTGGTTCTTCTACTTTGGCAGCTTGGGAAAGTGACCTGGCCACCGAAACCTATCCAGAAGAAGCGCCACCCCACCCCCCTTTCCATGAACAGAAGGACAAAACTCTTTGTATTCTTCTACATAGCAGAATAATAACCATTCACAGCTCTGTTGAGGAAAAGATGCTGACCACAGAGCCAGTTTGGTACAGAGCGTGATGACTGCTGCTCAGACCATAGGCTCTCATGGGTATAGATGTGTAAGTGTGTGCCTGCCGATATGGCATGATAGCAAGAGGAAACACCAAGCCCCTGATTCACATGTGAGCGATGTTATAAATCCATTGTGGGCCAAAGCTGGACACGGCTGCAGCAGCCACATAATATTCTTTTCTCACCTGCTGCACTGCCGTACGAGGTAAAGTGGGAAGGGTATAGAGAAAAAGAAGAGTCTGATCAGTCAGAATAGTCTGCAATGGAATGGGTCCAAGCCCCCTTTCCACATGTGTCCCCTCCCCCCACTGATGTAAAAATTAGATATGCCTGCTAAATGTGATCCAGAAAGAGATCTGGACAAACTTGGCTCATTTTGCCTCCAGGCAAGCAATTCTAGAAGAGATAATCTTAAATCTGTCTCCTTTATACAATATCTCACTTTGTGTGTGCCAGTCTTCCCTTTTTTGGTAACAGGACATCCTCCTTCCATTCCCACAATTATCTACTTAATTGCTTGTTTCATTTAGATCCCATCTTTCCTTCAGCCAGCTCAAAGCTGCATACATGGCCCACCTCCTCCTCATGTCATCTTTACAACAGTCCCGTGAAGCAGAGTCAGGCTGAAACAGTGACCAGCCAAGGATTACCCAGTACGTGTGACGGCTCATTGGGAATTTACACCTGGATTTCCCAAGTCCTGGTCCAGCCTGTAGCCACTTAGAGCAATCATTCCCAACCTTGGGTCCACATATGTTTTTGGACTAAAACTCCCAGAAGCCGTCACCACTAGCTGTGCTGCCCAGGATTTCTGGGAGTTGTAGACAGAAATTATCTGGGGGACCCAAGGTTGGGAACCACTGCTCTAGAACATGTCGTGCAACAATTCAACAACTCTTCCCTGCAGTTTGCATGAACCTGACCCGCCCTGGCCAAACTGGAGATGGACATAAACTGATGCAGGAAGAGAAAAGTCAATCAGATGGTATGTCAAAGTACATGGATAAAATACCCGAGCTGTCTTCCACATCTTTCCTTTCCTTGTTAACCTTTCAGTATTTTGTGGTCATTTCACATATGCTTTGCATTTTACAGCCTGCAGAGCTCATAAACTAGCAGCTAAAAAGGGGAGGGGGGGAGACGGGAGAGAGAAAAGAAACTCAATGTACATTCTGATCCAAAGTATATGTTTTGTTCTCAAAATTCAGTAAGTAGAACACCCTGGCCCTACCCTGAAGGCCAAGAGTGCAAGGAGTTCTTCCTTATTTGTCTCCTAAGCAAAGAAAACTATGGAAATACAGCAGTACTATTGGAGAGACTACAAAGAGCAATGAAAAGAATAATAATAAATTGAGCTTCACTTGGAAAAAAGAAGGCCAAGAAGCACAGAACAGCTGTCATTGCCAGCAGCATATAGCACCCTGGCCCTACCCTGAAGGCCAAGAGTGCAAGGAGTTCTTCCTTATTTGTCTCCTAAGCAAAGAAAACTATGGAAATACAGCAGTACTATTGGAGAGACTACAAAGAGCAATGAAAAGAATAATAATAAATTGAGCTTCACTTGGAAAAAAGAAGGCCAAGAAGCACAGAACAGCTGTCATTGCCAGCAGCATATAGTAACATGGTAATCACGTGTATATTATCTATGAGGGCTGCTCTTTAAAGCAAAGCATTAAAACTAGCAGCTAAAAAGGGGAGGGGGGGAGACGGGAGAGAGAAAAGAAACTCAATGTACATTCTGATCCAAAGTATATGTTTTGTTCTCAAAATTCAGTAAGTAGAACACCCTGGCCCTACAATGAAGGCCAAGAGTGCAAGGAGTTCTTCCTTATTTGTCTCCTAAGCAAAGAAAACTATGGAAATACAGCAGTACTATTGGAGAGACTACAAAGAGCAATGAAAAG